CGTATTAATTATCCTTGCCTTTCTTATTACATTTTCTACAAATAATCTTATTTTCGTGGATTTATATACTTTTTCAAAAATAAAATATGTATAATTACTATACAGACGGCGAATGTTATAATTAACACTTTCGTCTAAAGATATTTACATTCAGTTTTTTTGCTTGTAATGTATTTAATTCAAATGAAAAGAAATTCTATGGGACGGAAAACGCATCAAATGTTTTACTGAAAGGTTTCTTGATAATAATGTATTTTGAAAGCTGTGTGCGCTTGAATTTATTCATGTTTTGGCCTTAATCGATTCAAATGTTTTTATGTGATTTTGTGTATAATGCAATCATTGATGTGGCATGTACCTTTTCAAACCAGATATAAGAATACTTTCATACGCACAGATTTGAACAAAGCCTATAAAACTCGCTTACTCTTTGTATGATACGATCCCTTATGAGATAAGATCGCAGTTAACATGGTGTCTATATAATGTAATAAAAATTTCATCAGTGAACATGTGTGTTATGGTTTAGATTAATGTAAATATTTAGAATTTACGTCACTCGAACAATTCTTTTAAGTCATCTCAATCCAAATCCCCACGATAAATTATTATCAGAAGACATTATCAATCATTTATTTCACCTACTTCACAAAATTTATTGTAAAATGAGTTCATTTGGATCACGTGTCACAATAGTTAGACATTGTCGTAGTCGGACCAGTTAATGAATTGTTTAACCTTTAGTTAGAAGTCATTACTTTTTCCAATAGAAATATGGTTTTAAATTTTTTAAATCAACCCTTTAGCACACGTGTCAATATAGTTATTCTTAATTGATTTTATTTTCAATTTTTCAATATTTATTTAGTGACCATATGTTGACATTTAAGTGTTCATTATTTTTTTTATTTAATGATCTTTGTCAAAACATTGGTACCATTATCTATAATAATATTTAAACATATTCAATTTCAAACCAAAAAACTAAAGTTGTCTAATGTTTCCAAAACTTCGTCTCTCTAAACGTATCGATTAACTTTGACACTATTACACTTTATACATAAATAAGATAATGAAATTATGTTTGGATAGGTAATATATTATTTTTCTGTACGATTGTATTTCGACAAGAACAATGCCACATCTATTCAAGTATTGTTCTTTTAACAACCATAGTTATTGAAATCGCTCGATCGAACATATCCGGTTGCCAAGATGTATTCGAGCGCTTAACTTGAGTTCAGTCATAACCGTATTTTGAGTTAGAACAAGGCCTGTTGAATATTTAAATAGATGATTCAATTAAATTTTGGCTATAAATCATTAGTATTATTGTAGACATTTTGGGTATCAATTACACGGTGATATATATGCATAAGAATGTACATGTATCATAACAATATTACATATGTCAATAGCATACATAAGTGACTCGCGGGGCCGAGTGGTTTGGTCGCTGACTCAAAAATGAATCTACCATCGACACTGCAGCGGGTTTAAGCGAATTAGTTGGGTCTTTTCGTGTAAGGAAGCTACGCAGCTAGCGTTCGGACTGTAGGCAGTCATGCCAAAATAACTTACTTATGCCATACATATCAGATCTGGTGAAATAAAAGTGCATTTTTTTTCTCGACAGATATAATTTCATTACCACATTTTTTTATCAAAACTGTAATTAATTGTTTATATAATAAGTTTATTCAATTATAATTTGTGACGCTTTACAAAACGTCGTTTTTGCCAGAGATTTTCCTTAGCAAATAGTTTAGCATACTTGTTGTTCCTATATTCCAAGGATTCTAAATAATGTGGCCAATTAGTATTATTTCTTTCCACATCTTCTAATAATCAATTTAGAATTTCATTTTTTTTTCTGGATTCAAAATAATTCATTCCCATGAAAACAAACTGTAAGAGAAAATGTTCTGACTTTCGGATATAACCCTTAATGTTTGACCTTTGAACCCTGAAATGGCTTAGCCAAACAGCAAAATGGTTAAAAATCCATTTTGAAGAAAAATATCTTGGGAGGTACGAGATATTGTAGAGATCATTCGAGTAATAGTTGTACTAAAACTGACAATGTCTAATGTCCTGCCTTACTTATTTAACGTCTGACCTTCACCCTTTCCTAAATCCACTCTTCCATTAAAATTATTTATCATTTTTAGAGGATTTTTGAATAATTACCAGCTGAATAACAAACAGTGCAGACCATGATTGGACGGCAGAGTCCCTGCTGATCTTGGTCTGTATTGGTGGCCTCGGTAGAATATGTTGCTGCAAGTAGGGTAAGGCTTAATTATATACATGTAGCGGTGCACTTAACGTTCTAAGGTAAAAGTTCAGGTAAAAGTCAGCCGGATATTTAAGAAGCAATTAATCCGTCTTCTCAAGAAGAAAAAAGTTCATGTATATAAAGAGTTTTGTTAATCTTTATATATTAAAGTGTATATTATATTAATATAATACTAAATGTTTCATCTAGTATAAATTGGTCGATATCAAATAAGGTATGGTCTGTGGTATATAATCCAACGTTTAATACGCTTATATTCAAAATCCAGAGAAAATATTAACATGTAAACTACAAATCAATTTTTAATAAATTATTGGAAAAGTATCGTTTAAAACGAACTGATTCCTTACTTATCAGCAATTTAAAGAAATGGTTAACAGAGTTTGATATCACCTTTTTCGCGTTTTTTACTTGACAACTGTAAAATATAAACAGCTATTAGCTTATCTCACAAAGTGCGAAATTTTTCAGAAGTTTTTTTTCTCTCTCTTTTTAACACAAAGAAGAAGGTTGAATGAATATATATTTGATTTAGATATTGTTGGGTTGGTGAATATTGTCGCCATCGTTATTAGAGACAGACAAAACCCTCAAACCGATTTCTTTTTTGTTTAAAGTAGTAAAAATCAACTCTTGTTTTGCTGCTTTAAAAAGTCAAAATGACATTTCTTAAAAGATCTTTATACAAATAAAGATAATCGCTTTACAACCGAGTACAACATAAATAAGCACAGTTCAATCTCTATACTATTTGAGCCGCGTCATGACAAAACCAACATAATGGGTTTGCGACCAGCATGGATCCAAACCAGCCTGCGCATCCGCGCAGTCTGATCAGGATCCATGTTGTTCGCTTACCAACTCTTTTACAAGTAGAGAAACCGATAGCGAACAGCATGGATCCTGATCAGACTGCGCGGATGCGCAGGCTGGTCTGGATCCATGCTGGTCGCAAACCCATTATGTTGGGTTTGTCATGACACGGCTCATTTTTTTGTCCTTTCCGTATAACAGCACAGGCGACAGAGTCTATGTTATCGACAATACACCCCACTTCTATGCCCAATGTTTACTTATCGTAATACTTTAAATCCCTCTATTGCAACCAGCCAAGTAGAATTCCATTTTATATTTTATTAACAGACAGGTGTAAATACGCGAAAACTGTAAAAACATACTTAAAACGGAAAAGTAAACACTCCCCTTGTAATCGCTACTGAAAATAACATAAATCGAATTGAAACATGCATTTTCCTGTTTACTTTAAGAGAAAGAATCGAAATGTTCATATAAACTATGCAGGAACGAATTTTTTCCCGTGACACGAAGAAAAAAAGGCTCGAAACCGCGTCCATTAATTTGATTTTGTTTTTCAGACCAACAGCAGCCTGCATTTAATAGTGGTTTATAAGATGAGTACAAATTGATGTTTTTGTCTTGAAAGGGTGATTTTAATTTTCTGAATCTAGATTATTTTATTGTAACTTGATGTGTTTGATTCTTGTAATGTTATCTCTTAGAAACTGAACTTTCTTATATTATGCCATGCAGTTTTAAATGTATATATGGATTAGACTTGGGTTGAAACTCGATAAAGTACAATGGATTTGATTATTTATCACCCGTTCTGAACAATTTATTATCTAAAAACCTTTAAAAAAATAAATGTTGGAGAGAAATATAATATAAAAAGGCTTTGTGCGGTTTGTTACGGAGAATGACAAATTACTGATTAAAATTACTATTCACAGGGGGTACAATGAAAACGTTAGCTATTTTACTGAAGAAAGTAAATTTAGAAATCGAAATGAACAAGAAAACATTTTCACTAGTTTATATGCAATGAGTTTATTGCCTTTTTGTGGTCAATATTTACCTTAACGATAGACCAACATGTAAATTTCATTAACAAAAAACCCACACACAATGGCTTTGAAAGTTTAAACTCTTGATAAGACATGGTAGTGCTTTCATTGTTATTGCGTACACTATAAAATCCGATTAATTTCATGAATTTTATATAACAACGGGCTTATGTGAATTCATTTTACTTAATGTATTGTTGTGGGTGATATAAACCGTGCTTTAGTAAAATGAAAATGAACTTTATTTCATAGATACAAAAGTTACAAAAGGTACAACAATCAAGTAGAGTTAATAAAATAAACTAATATGATCTGGGATATTACTTGGATATATTATACTGTACTTTGGATGTGTATAATAACATATAAATTGTTTAAACATTAAGTGTTGATCAAGAATAGTTCAAAATTTTAACGCTTTCGTTTGATTTTATTTCAAAATTTTATCAAATTATAGAAAAAGATAGACTCTCATTACAAAATATAAAGTTATTATTATTATCATTATCATTATTAGATTATCATAGAATTTAGTTCTATATTATTTTTTATTTATTTATGAAACTGTTATGAATATGTTATTGTCAGCCAGGATTAATGAATAGCTTTTGTTTTCTTAAATACCGACAAAGAGTTTGTAGAGAAAAATCACCTCACCCGATAAAGATCATTTTCTCTAGTAAGGTCAACTGTGCAATGAAACACAATTTGCGCGTAAACACTCTGGACTTTACCTCATATTGATTACAGTTGTGGATTATCAGAATAGGTTATATTACGAGTTCTGTGATAAATTATGCATAAAACATACATAAAACGGATACTCTTCATTTCAGGACGTCAAACCGGAAGTGGGCATCATCACGTGACAGTTACTTAGAAACGTGTGTCTGACAACGTCGCCATCCTCACAACTATTGTTGCATTCAGCGTGCTGTCGAAAATTTAGACAATCTAACCGTACAAACGATATTTTGGATTTAGTTCAGGGTCCAAGTCCCGTACAGCATTCAAAATGAGTCACAAGTAAGTAAAATATTATGTGTCTTTCTTAAATTAACGAGGATTTGATTGTTCGTTTGTGCGCTGGCGCTACACGTATTAATTTTGACGTTTGGTAATTTTCTTAAGCCAGAATTTTTCAATTTTGAGGGTGTGATTGCTTTGTTTCTGACAATTTGATATGTTATACAGAATACAGACGGAAAAGAACTATTAATCCGTTTAAGGAATCTTTTAACTGTTTTTTTTAATGAATTATCTAGATCTACCAAGTTACCCCATCATAGATCTATATTTCCTCTGTCTATCCATAGCCTGTTTAGATGCACCAAGAGCTTGAAAACGTGAAACTAACTGATGATGTATTTAAATTCGTTAAATTCATTCTCTGAATGAAATTGTAACTTGTTTCAATATTTATGTCAGAAAAAAGACAGATTAATTGCTGTTTCTGAATTATTTCTTGCAATAGGGGCCTAATGGCTTAGCTAAATATTTTCTACAATTAATATTAATTTATATTTACGTGTTTTAAGATTAAAACTACCAATAAATTATATTTCTGATGAACCTGTATCCACAATTTAATAAACATTTTCATATTATCATTGTACACATGTATCTATCATAAAATTTAGCTAGGAAACCAAAGAGTATAAAGGAAAGCGCATATTTTAAGAATGTTTGATATAGGCCCGAATAATATTGCATTAAATTTGGATTTTTATTCATATCTTAAGAAAATAACCAGAAATATTTACATGTTTTGCTTTCACATGTTGCATAAAATTCACAACAGTTACCTTATATTTCACGTTGTAAAATACTAATTTAAATGTTTAGGGGACGAAGCTGTACCAGGTAAAGTATTTTAGCAAAATTAATCATTAGTTCTCTTGTATTCTCGTAGTTAATGCACATTCTGCTCATTAATCACTCATTTCGCCAACTTCCCTCTGGTTACGAAAACTATCCCCTCATTACGCCATATTTTTCTGATAAAAGAGATTTTTTGTTGTTTATTTTACATAGTTTATGCTAGAAGTACATAAAAAACGCATGTTTTAAGAATTTGGAAAGGTAGCATTTCAGTTTTAGGGAATTAAGGTACGGAAGAACGGAAGTATGTATAAGCTTTTAAGGCAGTAGAAAATGCTAGTTTTAACTACATGTATAGATAGGAAAAGTTTCTCAAGCTAAAGTAGGGTTTTATTTTCTCTTTAAATAGATAACTATCTTGACTTTGCTTTTCTTTTCGCTTATTACGATTATTCCGTACTGCCTTTCGTAAAACATCAAATCAAGTTAATTTACATGATCCGGAGTTAAAAATTATAATGTCTTAAAACAAACAATTGCATCACAATTTTGAATCCTTATTCCTTTCTTTTCTGTTCCTTTTGTTTTCGTAAAGCCGCTAGTTTTTACACTTTTTTTCGGGATATTTGGCACATTTAGACTATATACAAAATGTACATATAATATGTACATGGATTTGTCGATCACTGATAGTTTAAAAAGGTCTAACGGTCGATAAGAGGAACACGTTTTATTTTTCTAATGCAATAAAATCATTTGGTCTTCGGTAAGCTTTGTGAAATTGAATGTGGAAAAGGAATTACATTAATAGCTGTATACTTCAGCCGACACTGCACAGAGTTCAACGGAAATTTTTGAAATTCCGTCTTTTCGTCTTTTACGAATAATGTCTGTTACACTGCTAAATTGTAGAAAGGACTTGTCCTTTGAGAGATTTTAACATCAAAATACTGATGTTCTGCTGCCACAGCCTGGCCACAATGTGCAGATATGACGGTTTTTCTATTGAATGTATTGAAATACATGTAATAATTAAAAAAAAAATAGTGTACTGAAATAATTTTATGACTAAAACAGATCGTTAAAGGGACTCCACTGAGGTTTTTTTTTTCCACAAATTAGATTTATCATTTAGATATATTTTTTTCGGGAGAAATTTTCCATTTGATGTAGTTCGATCTTAACCAATAACTTGTGTGCAAATTTTCAGATTATTCGCTCACTCTGTTTTTCAAGACTAATTATTCTAATCGTGAAAAATGTCTCAAAATTTAAAAGCGTTACAACGCATTCTACTCAAAAAGGGCGATGAATAGTTAAAAAAAATACGATTTTCAACTTATGTCTGAGTGTATTTCTTAATTATCTTTGAATACCTTTCTGTTTTATTTGTCCCAACTGATCTATATAAAAAGTTTAAATTCACTTTTTAGGCTATTGGACCTCGTTGGAGCTCTTTATAACAAAAATTGAATTAGATTATCCATAGACGATTTATGCATTTTGATAACATTTGTTTTTCCATTCCATTTTATATCTAGAAAGTCTGTTCATCAAATGCGCTCAATCATAATGTTACATGTTTAAATCAATTGTGCGATAGTTATGCAACGTAATATTATGCTAACAGTGTATCAAATATGCATAGGAATGCGTGATTAACGTGCATGCATTTTTAATGTAACATGTATTGTAAATTGAAAGTGATCTTAAACCAGGATAGATTGTGTTCAAACTTTTTAACTATATCACTAAACTTGAAGACAACAAACTAAATAAAAATACTATGTAATCTATACCAACTTTCCGTTTTTCATGACTGAAGAAATAAAACTATGCCAACTTTTAAGACTTTTAAAACACATTAAAAAGTACGATTTGCACGAAACTTAATTGTTATTCTGAATAAGAGTACCTGGAAAATTTAATTAGATTTTATTACCCGTAGTGAATATGTCGTTTTAACACGCAAGCAAGCTTTTATTGAAAACGCATGAACGCTTTCAAATGTATAGACTTGGAATAATGCAAGCAATTTCAATGTAAGATTTATTCATGAAAATAAAAGTGTAACATTTTAAAATTTCCGATGTATTGAAATTGTATATAAATGAATGATTAAACAAATATTTCATGCCATATGTTTAAAACATCCGGTGCACAACCCATGAGGGCAATTATTTAAAGCAATAAATACAAGTTTATTCGCGAGATAGCAGTACAAAATGTAATTGTTTGTTTTCATGAACAAGGACTGAACGGTTTCAATTTTTCCCATCTGAATTCGGATAATAAAATAGCTATGTTTAACATTTCAACCTGTCTTTTACAAGTTTTATTATACATGCATTTCCTTTGACGGATGCACTTTACAGAGTGAACATTTAAATGCAAAGAGAAGATAAAATAAAATACAAAATGTATCACTGGTATTCATCTTTATTTTAAGCGTATTATTCATGTCATTACAGATTGGCATTTTACGACAGCCCAGCCATTGTCCGCTCCCGAAGTGCGACACCACTCACACCGGAAATGTCCAAAATCCTGCCATACGTTTCCGACAAAACTATTTCAAGACATCTGGGGTATGCAGGACGATCAATGGATCTAGGTCATGCCAGGAACTACTTCAACCCTGCCAGGTAATAATGCCCCCACACCCCCGACTACTACACATTTAAACGCAAAATTGATCCATTAAAAGTTAAAAGTCCTTGATCTATTGTACACGCAATTTCTGTTTGAAATGGCCCATTCGTATCCAAGCATGTCTAAATCTGAAATCAATTCATGATAAATACAAAAAAAAAATCAACACCAAAACAATCAAGACTGCCAAAATAACATTGATGTCTAACGACAAAGTATTTGTTTATAAGTGTAAAATATTTCAGTTGGATGATAAATGAGCGTTAACAATACAATAGATAAGACAAGTTAAATATATAACATACAGTAGTTACGTAAGAAAACAAACACATATGTTTCAGAAAATAGCCGTGCCAATAAATCAATAAATAAAATGTTTTTGTAAACTACATGGGTATGCTATATAAAGCATTGTGGATTAACAATTATTTGGGAACGTAATCGTAAATAATGTAACGCCATAAAAATCTTGTTTAAGGAACACAATTTACTCCCGATACACACCCAATGACTGGGGAGTTTCTAACCAGATGAACTACAGTTTGTCCGACAAAGAGCGCGCATTTGGCGAGCGTCTACGTGCCGACGCTTGGAGAGCAATGAAAGAAACAGACGCCAGAACCAGAAACCGCCAAAATGACGTCACCAAAAAGCTAGGTATGACAACGAGCAAATATGAACAAAAAAAAAATTCATTTATTTCTATTTTGAACGAAACACGTGTACGTTTGAAGAAAGAAAAATAATTTTATAACTAAATTAAAAAGAAAAATGATTTTTTTAGAATTATTTTCCATCTACTTTATGGTATAATAAGTGAATGACTAATTACTATTTGTTTAAATATTGCTGCCACAAACACGTGCTTAAGAAATATTGTCATTGTGATATAAAAATATATACATGTACATGAATATATTATCATCATTCATGGCTCTATTAATAGATAAAACTTGCATATTTCTATATTATTTATGTTCATTATGGATTGAGTACAAGAAAGAATGACAAACATAGCCTTCAGGAGTCAATGAAACTTAAAAGCATTGTTTCATGTTTTGCTGGACTGATTTTGTTTCAGGGGAAAGAGTTCAGGACATTGCGTTCTGGAAATCAGAACTTCTTTCTGAAATCAACAGTATAGGAACAGAATATGAGAATTTAGAGGTACTCCGAATGAATGACTTCCTATGTCGGTAATCACGTGACATTCAGTAGCAAACATCCTCTAATTTCTACGCATCCCACTCTCTACATGTTAACTAATCTAGCATGCATGCATTATTACTCGCTCCTAACAAAGACTTTGAGATCGTTAACTTTGCGGTTTGTTATTTTGGTTTTTAGCTAATCTAGAAGGGAGAGTGAGATAGTGACTCTAACACTTCTTGATTGAAAACTTCAAAATCAAAACTTACTTGGCCAATGCTCCGGCTGAATTCGATATTTCTTCGCCTTCGTCACCAAAGAAATGTTGCTACATGATACATTTAGATTCGCAAGTCGTCTGCAATGGCTAAAAGTAGCACTTAGATAAAATGTAAAGATCTCAGGGTGCTTGTTTAGAGAAAGTACAGAGTCATTGGTTATGAAAACTGAATTTTTAATCAAAGACTTTTAATACCACTCAAGAAGTTTCAAAATTCAACAAGTCTTTCGGTATGAAAGCAATTCAATCCGCAGAATTTAAACATTTCTTTCGAATGTGAAAAACAAATTCAATAAGTCTGAGAGAAAAATCAGTTTTAGTAGCTATTGGCATCGGTGTACACCAAGGAGCAATTCTATCTCCCCTATTGTTTTCCTCAGGCGAACGTGTTTATGACATCGCATTTTGGAAGAGTGAGCTAAACATGGAAATCAACTCCCTAGCAACCGAGATTGAAAATTTGAAGGTAAATGTTTGCCACGTGACATTCAGAAAATATCGTTTAAGAAACATAATGGTGTCAGAAGTTTATTATCTTGGCAAACATTTTGTCTTTGATTACAAAATGCGATGAAGCCTTGAGGATTATTTTTGTCATATAAACGTCTAAAAGCATAGTTTAGTTACAGTAAATATACGGATATATTTATATATCAATGGTTTCACTTATTTACTCTATTTATTAGTGGTTGAATATTTCTTTATGTCACAATATTTAGTGTTTCATCTAGATTTAACGCTATTTTATGTTTGCTTGCTTGCCTACTGAAAAGAAGAATGAATTACATAACTGCATAGAATGATTGCAAAACAAATGTATGCTTTTGGTCTCCATGTGTTATTTAACAAATGTTTCAGCTGATTGTTTATACAAAACATGACCATTTTATTCATCTAATTTTAATTTACCAAACTCTTTAAATTACTTAAATACATTCCCAACCTCAATGTAGATTTCTAAGATATTCCTGTTTGTTCCAAATGTCCTATTCCTCCATCATTTTGTTATTTTCAAATTCCATTTGTTAGTAAAAAGCCACCCGGTCAGTCGCTGCATTTTTATTTCTTCGCAGTAGTAAATGCACTATAGTAGCAGTATGTATCAGTAGAAATTGCACTTTCTTACGTAAATTGTTCGGCCCGGGAACACAATTGCATTTTAGTACTAGTAGATTAGCTGTGGAGCAAATCGTAGCACTGGCTTTCAAACATAAGCATAATATTCTCTACGATCATTTTTTATGGTGTTTGATTTTAATAAGTTTTACATAGTCATATGTCATCATGTATATAGCGGTAGACGATTGCATGTAAATGAACTAATAAATAAATGAACCAATACGTACATTTTAAGGTAAATTTGAAAAGAAATGAATTTCTCTTTTTGAAAGTAGTGCATTGACTGCGCAATAGTTTTTCAACCGATAACTGCTGTTTATATAGGAATACCGCCGTACCTGCGAGAAGGCTCTCTCCGACACAGCTAACCCATTACATATTGCCGAGGAATGTTTGATGCATAGAGAAAAGAGACAAGGAATTGACCTGGTTAATGATGATGTCGAGAAAGCTCTTGTCCGAGTAAGTACTGTTAACCCTAACTACCCTAAAATATCTTATATGGACTTGTCCATTTTTCAGTCTTGACAAAACCTTTCACAATTTTAGGATTTCACATTATGCCTCAGAAATATATGGTTTTCTCTTTCTTAAGGATGGGCAAACATGTGTTTTATAACGTTTAATTAAAGGTGTTATAGAACATGTTAGATGAATTTTAAACTGAGGTAGGTAGCTCTGAATGAGAAACCATTTGTCATAAAAATCGCAAAATGTAAGCAATGAAGTACTTTGACTATTTCTTAATAAATCGTATACATTTTGTAATTGTTTGAATTATGCATCAACGATTTTGTTGTAAAATGATCCAGTGTCTCCAAATACAAGAATAATTGGTATTATCAAATGTTATATGAACACTAACACAGCATTTTCTTCGTTATTTTAGGAAGTGAATGTAATCAAGAAATGTCAAGCTAAGATGAAGAGAGTTTTGGACAAAGCTGCCGTCCAACTGAAGTAAGTTTGTATCACTATTGAATGGGTCAAAAACAAAACATAGATATACAAAACGTAGATACAAATACATATTTCAGATTTATTGAAACTTCAAAATGAAAACATTTTTGTTGTTATTGTTATTGTTTTTGTAATTATCTGACATTGAAGATTGTTATTCTTAGATAATGGCTCCTATAAGTTTTTGCCTTCAGCCAAAGTCTATATATTTTGTAATGCTGTTACTTACACATGTTTAGATATTCTGAATAAAATATAGTTAACCAAAGTAATTATCCTATTTATTAGGTTGAATTTAAAGCTAATGACTTTAACTCTCAATTAACAGTCTGTTCGGGAACTGTTATGTCAATGAATCTGTTTCTTTTTCCTTTTCATTAAAAATATTTTATCAGTATAAATATAACGAACAGCACTAAAGATTGATAATAAATCTATTACATGTAGGATAATTATTTGGAAGGACATGACTGCAATCCATATTTACTTTCTATGCGTTATTTATTAATGTATTTACATTAAATGAGTCTTTACTCGTATTTCTCTGCCCAGGATGAACCGTGCTGCACAGCACACTTTGGAAATCGACGCCAAGGACAAACATCATGCACAAGGACTTGACGATCGCATCCAGTCGTACAGAAACGGTTCAGCTGGCACTGGTTACTATCCTGGCATTGAAAATATTGATAACACGTATGTATACAATGTTTCTTTGTTTGTTTTTCAAAGTTTTAAAAAAACAACATCTTCTTCACTGGTCATTTTTGTATATTATTTTTTGCTTGTCTTTTGGGATTCATTATTTACAATACTTTAAATTGAATACTGCTTTTAGAAAGGGTGTGGCTTTGTATGGATGGAAGTAGGAAGGGTTTTGGAGAAATATTTACGTTTTTTAAAGCTAACATTAAAAACGTAATTCCAATGTGAAAAAGAGTATGCTCTCTATATTTCATGAACTATGATTTTGACAATATCCATCTTCTTAACATAGAGTTATGTACCAGTGCAATCGACCAATGTTATTAAACACGGATGTTTCAGCTGGGATGAAATTATATATTTCAGAATCACTATCCCAGAATCATGGGCAAGGTACACACAGGAAAACATTGCCAGATCCCAGAAGGAACGTGCATCTTCTGAACGTTTAAGAGGAGAGATCGACAGCTGTCTCCGCCAGTGCGCTAACGACATGTGGAACATGTTCAACACAGTGAATAACGCCTTCAACACGAGAATACGCGAGACTACAGATGCTAGAAACAAACTTCAAGCTCATCTCCAGAGAGTATGTTTAAGATTCATTACAAAATTTTAATTTACTTAAATCATTTAGTGAACTGTATTCAAGCTTATGAATATGCAATATATTCAAGACATTTATTTATTTACAAGTTTGATGTTCGTAGATATTAAAGCAAATTGAAACAAAATTCCGAAAAAGGCTGTGTCAATGTTTTTGCGTTATCTTTCCTTTGCGCCAATTATGTCATATATTTTCTTATTTTCAAGTTCTACTATAAATGTACATGTATTGAAAATGCATTTCTTTTATATCAGACAATGGCTGAAATCTTCGATATGGAGAAGAACATTGCATTGCTACGAAAGGCCATCCAGGACAAGGAGGCACCAATGAAGGTTTCACAATCTCGTCTAGATGAAAGAACCAGACGTATTAACGTAGAGCTCTGTAACGATCCAGTCATGAGATCGTAAGTACATGCATTTAATACCGAGCGCGCGAAATTTGAAACCAATATCGATATGTAAGCTGATACCTTATTGGTCACTGAAAAAAATCTAGTATTTGTTTAACCAATCAAATGCAGACTTCAAAGTGATGCATTATTTTTGCTTGAACTGGTTTAAATATGGACCCAGAATCTGCGTGAATCTGTCCATGTATCAAACGAATGGAACAAGACCTATTATTTTGATTCCTTCTGTTAAATCTGTATTGTTTACATTATCTTTGCAGTAAATCTGATATTAGCTTTTATTTTAATAGATAACTTTGAAATCAATCTTAAAGCCGATCATACTTACGACGTTTTCTTTTTTAAACAGTCTGCAGCGTGAGGTGAGCGAGATCCGAGAATCTGTGCGTCTACTCAAAGAGCGTCTGAAGGCATCAGAGTTGAGCTTGGCACGCTTGATGAAGACAAAGGCAACATTGGAACACGACATCTCGGTCAAGGAGAACAGTCTAAGAATAGATTCACAGTATTGCATGGGCATGCGCAAAGGATTCCCAATGGATCCAAAAGTCGGACCAATTTTCCAAATGCCTACATGCTAGGGAACTTTAAATCAATAGACATATTTTGTTTAAATAATTCTAATTGAACACTTTATTTAATAAAGAAATTATCTCATGCTTCATGCAACATTTTAGTGCGTGTGATTTCTCAAAATATTACTAAAAAGAATAAGGTGTTATAAAGCGTATGAAGTCATCCTTCCTGGATTGTGTCACCATTTAAACCGGCAACATAGTGCTATTTCAGGTGTTGCTGAAATTAATTCCTATTTTTGCCCATATCTCAAAATTATGTTATATATTACAAAGGGTTTTACATAATGTTATATATCATGGTTACAAAATTGCAAACATTCAGAAAACAGCCCCAACGTTTTGTTTTTGCATTTTATTTTTTCATGCAGTGCACACAAATTTCTTTCTAGATCTGCAATCGGCCATGTTTGTTATCTATTTTTTGAGTGTGGTCACATTAATTAAATCTTTTTTAACTGCCATGAAAAAGCTACCATCGTTAGTTTGTACATTTAACTATTATTTGTTTATTTTCTTTTACTTTGTGCTTAGTTTTTTAAAACATATGTACAATGCTTACTTAGTAAGCATGTCTTTTTTCTCTCGGTTTTAACACGCTAGATTTAAGAGATAATCTTGTTTGGTTTCCAATCATTTTTTGTAATTATATTTCTCCCCTCTCAATATAACATTTCTTAAATAATTTCTTACAGGAAGGTGAGTTTTAGTTAATCGCTTGACAAAATGATTTAAACAGATATGGGCATATTCTAATCCCTTTCATTCTTTTTATGTGGCTGTAAAGAAATGTTATATTGAGAAGGGTTTGATGGGTGCGGATTTCACTCTCTCTTTTCTCATAGTACAAAACAGTATTATATTGTTATCCTATTCCACAATGTAAATTATGTACAGTGTGCTTATTTTCATTGTAGTAACTTGTTTTTTTATATTTCATGTATTTATTTTAGATTTTATTTCATTCGAGTCATTTTTATTACGCTATTGGTATCAATTCAGCTCTCCGACGCCGGAGAATCTTATGGTTTGTTGCACTGAAACTGTTCTCCAGCGTTGAAGAGCTCCTAATAGCTATCCTTTGAGATCTTCAATATAGAAGAGCTCATGATATCTATAAATAGGCTAAATTGCCTAACACCGTAGTCAGATTAGATTCTTAGAATAGAAGCAATTATGCTTACAACCAAAAACAGTATTTTTTTCATTCGTCATTCTGGTGTGAAAATGTAATCAAATTGTATTTTTTATAATTTTTTGTGTATATGAGGTAGAGGTCAAATGAATTTGTTTCCAAAAAAAAAACGTAACCAAAATATGATGCTGTAGATGTTTAGTCTTCAAGTATCTTCAAACTTTCTCCCGAACTTAATTAGTATGATGAAAAATAAGCAACAAAGAACGAACTTTGAAGACTTTTGTCCACTGAATGACTTTTTTATCAGTATTATTTAACACGAAGTATTACTATTGTGTCCACCACAATCTAAGTTATTTATCTACAAATGTAGATTGTTTATTTATGTCCTTGCTCAAAACGGCGGGAGAAATATCTTGCCTAAAAATCAAATTCCCTTGTCTGTGATAAGTATAACAGGATTTCCGGAAGTCATGAGTGTACGCATGCGTTTAGAGATTTCCGGTCTGAAGGTCTACTAGTTATGTTTGTTATTTTGTATGTATTGCATAGAACCACAATTACCAAGGCTTATGTTGTTTGCACAATAAAAATCTTACATAAATGTGAGTTGTTTTTCTTACTTAATTGTTAAAATAGTTCCTTAAGCTTCAAACGGTGTCATTATGTATACATGTATACACGCATTGCACTGCAGTTTCATTAACAATGTATTATGTTCAAGTAACAATTTCATTTGCTGATTGAACAGAAATTTCAACATTTTGGCATTTCAACTTTAGAGACAGTTTTATATATACATGTAATTGTAATATAGTCTGCAAGTATGATTTAATCATGAAGTGGAGCACAACTTTCATAAGTTTACAATCTGCGACATATCCATGTTACCCAAGTAGTAATTAAATTAAAGTCCAGCAATCCACTTTTCTGTAGTTCTGCTGACAGTGGCTGTACCTTTGAAGTTTGCCAACGCGTAAACATATGATACTTGCTATTAGTTAATGTAAATTTATCTTTGAGACTTCCTCTTACTACAGCATTGTTTTTCATGATAATAACAGATACATTTTTTAAAACATACTACATGTATCTTATGCCAATTATAGCCTTTTTATGAACAATGCCGTGTTTTAATCGAGAAATCTTTTGAAATACACATACTTACAATTTTAAATTCTCAGTAGCCTACGCGCATGCGCCCAAAGAAGCAGCTTAGATTTAATTATTTTAATTTACGGAGACGCTAAATAGGGACTGATAGAGATGTAGCTCTAAGTTTTATTGAACTATTTTAGTAAATTCTCATTTACCGGTATATGTAAGACATTGCGGGGTAGAATTTTCATCCTGCAATTAGTACTATTACAAAATAAAATCATAGGTGAAACACAACAATTGAATTAAATAATCCTTTCTAACATATATACATTTAACAGTTTAATGATACAATGTACTTAATCGCTATATTTACAATTTCATGAAAAATACCTATGCAAATGTTAGCATATATAATATGCAAGAGAGTCGGGCTACAAGTTATTACGCTGTATCTATCAAAATAAGCCAAAACTCTCCCTGCAAAGTCTAAACTTTATATCACATCTGTTCCAGAACATGTAATAAGTCTCTGTTTCGAAAATAACCATCTGTTTTTTATTTTATTTTATAAGCATAGATCTATGCTGTATTCAGATGTTTTAAATATTTTTGTCTGTATTTGTCCCTAGAAAGTTAGAAACAATTTTATGTTCGATTCCATGTCCAAGACACTAAAAGGCACAGTATGACCCAGAAACAAATACATTTTTACTTCTTAAGACGATGCAAACATGAATTTTATAATGTTTAACTTATGGTTTACAGAAATGTGAGATGCTTGTTACCTAAAAAATAACAATAAATGTGAAATGATTTGTCATAAAAGTAGCAAAATGTAAACAAAGTAGTATTTTAAGAAAATAAAAAGGAAAGCAATAATAAGGCATGATGGGCCTTTAAGATATGACATTCAAGATATGTAGTATTTTGTGAACGTATAGTTTTTAATTAATGAAGTGTCAGTCGTTTAAACATCTACTGGAACGGAATTTTCTTTTCACTTTCTGTGTCCCCGTTGTCGAGTTCTTTTTCCTCGCTCGGTTCTTCTTCTGTATTTATTTCTAGTCTATCTTGCAAAAATGGCAAAGATTCCCAATTTAGTCTAATATTTTGCTCTTCGTCTTGGAATGAAACTTGACGGGAAAAACAAGCACCCAGTGACATTGACTTTGTCGTCTGCTTTCTCGATGGAATATCTGAATAACAGTAAAATGTGAATTAATATTTCAAATTGCCAGCATATACAATTTTTAAAATTAACAAATGTTATGTTAACAAAAATATCTTAAATTATGACAATCACTTTATCTGCTAGGGTTTAACTATGTCAGTCTTTGCCACTAGCATAGACCTATGTCTGCCTGAACATCATGCAGTCTGGACAAGCTCTATATTGATGGTAGCTCAATTTCTGTATATTGATATTGAAAGCCTTGACATTTTGAATGGACTGTTCCAGCTTCAAACCTAGGAAAGTCTATTTCAAAAATAAAGCATGTTATGGGTGGAAGTAAAACATATTATTTACAGGTCACAATGGATAGATTATGTAGAGAAATCAAGAACTATGTAAGATTGTTTTCATAGTAGTCCCATCATATGCCAATTAGATAGAAAATCACCATGTAATAAGAAGAAGCTACTTCTTTATGTGCATGTATGATTTGAAAAATTTAATGATAGATGTTCAATTAACAAGAATCAATTCACCATATAAATGTTTTTCGAGCTCCTTATAAACGTTTGCAACAACCGGCTGATTTGTTTCATTTTTAATTACAACAACAACAACATAACACAAAAAAACAACATAAGAAAAAATAAAACAACAACATCAAAAATGTATTAATTGCTTGAACATAATTTTGAAAAATCTATTTTGTCCTTAATGCTGTACATTCTGCAAAAAAGAAACAAAGCTTAATAGTAGGCAAATATTTAAATGAACCATTAAATACGACATTCCTTCTAATGAAATACAAATGAAAAAATTCAGAAACAGTGGCATTACCCTTATGATATCTGTTCATTTAATAAAAGTATATAGCTAATAGCTATAACGTATTGATATTTGCTTAAACATAAACAAGTAACACTTTGTGGAAGGCTACTGGTTGTTGAACTAACGATTCTTCAAGAACTATGAAATTGCAAGATGACCCAACCGATTCTGGAACCCGTAATCCTACCAGCGATCGGTGTAATATATATATATAGCACGGTCAGGTTAGGAACCTATAATCCTACCAACGGTCGGTGTTTATATAGCAAGATATATAGCACGGTCGGTTGTGGAATCCATGATCCTTCCAGCGTTCGGTGTTATATATAGCACGGCTGGTTACGGAACCCATGATCCTACCAACGGCCGGTGTTATCAATATAACGACTGGTTGTGGATCCGAATCCATGATCCTACCAGCGGTCCGTGTTATATATAGCACGGCCGGTTGTGGAATCCATGAGTCTAACAGCGTTCGATGTTAGATATAGCACGTACGGTTGTGTAATCCGTGATCCTACCAGCATTTCCGTGTTATATATAGCACGGCCGGTTGTGGAGTCCATGATCCTACCAACGGTCGGTGTTATATTTAGCAGGCCGGTTGATGAATCCATGACCCTACAAACGTGCGGTGTTATGGACAGCACGACCGGTTGCGGAACTAATATGATTCTACCAACGTTTGATGTTATATAAAGCACGGCCGGTTGTGAAATCCATGATTGTACAACGATCGGTGTTATATATAGCACGACCGGTTGTGGAATCTATGATCCTACCAACATTCGGTGTTTTATGTAGCACGGATTGTTTCGGAATCCATGATCTTACCAACGTTCGGTGTTATATATAGCACGACCGGTTGTGGAATCTATGATCCTACCAACATTCGGTGTTTTATGTAACACGGATTGTTTTGGAATCCATGATCTTACCAACGTTCGGTGTTATATACAGTACGGCCGGTTTTGAAACCCATAATCCTACCAACGTTCGGTGTTTTATGTAGGACGGGCGGTTGTTGAATACATGATCCTTCCAACGATCGGTGTTGTACATGCATATAGCACGGCCGGTTGTGGAATACATGATCCTGCTATATATAGCATGGCCGGTTTTGGAATCCATGATCCTACAAACGTTCGGTGTTATATACAGCATTGCTGGTTGTGGAACACATGATCCTACCTACGGGCGGTGTTATTTTTAGCACGACAGGTTGTGGAATCCATGATTATACCAGTATTCGGTATTATATAGTACGGCCGGTTGTGGAACTCGTGATCCTACCAACGTTCGGTGTTATATAGTACTGTCAGTTGTGGAACTTGTCATCCTGTCAACGTTTGGTGTTATATAAGCACGGCTGGTTGTGGAACCCGTGATCTTACCAACGTGCGATGTTATATAGAACAGTCGGTTGTGGAACCCGTGATCTTACCAACGTTCGATGTTATATAGAACAGTCGGTTGTGGAACCCGTGATCTTACCAACGTTCGGTGTTATATAGAACAGTCGGTTGTGGAACCCGTGATCTTACCAACGTTCGGTGTTATATAGCACGACTGGTTGTGGAACCCGTGATCTTACAAACGTTCGATGTTATATAGAACAGTCGGTTGTGGAACCCGTGATCTTACCAACGTTCGGTGTTATATAGAACAGTCGGTTGTGGAACCCGTGATCTTACCAACGTTCGGTGTTATATAGCACGACTGGTTGTGGAACCCATAATCCTACCAACGTTCTGTGTTTTATGTAGGACGGGCGGTTGTTGAATACATGATCCTTCCAACGATCGGTGTTGTACATGCATATAGCACGGCCGGTTGTGGAATACATGATCCTGCTATATATAGCACGGCCGGTTTTGGAATCCATGATCCTACAAACGTTCGGTGTTATATACAGCATTGCTGGTAGTGGAACACATGATCCTACCTACGGGCGGTGTTATTTTCAGCACGACAGGTTGTGGAATCCATGATTATACCAGTATTCGGTATTATATAGTACGGCCGGTTGTGGAACTCGTGATCCTACCAACGTTCGGTGTTATATAGTACTGTCAGTTGTGGAACTTGTCATCCTGTCAACGTTTGGTGCTATATAAGCACGGCTGGTTGTGGAACCCGTGATCTTACCAACGTGCGATGTTATATAGAACAGTCGGTTGTGGAACCCGTGATCTTACCAACGTTCGATGTTATATAGAACAGTCGGTTGTGGAACCCGTGATCTTACCAACGTTCGGTGTTATATAGAACAGTCGGTTGTGGAACCCGTGATCTTACCAACGTTCGGTGTTATATAGCACGACTGGTTGTGGAACCCGTGATCTTACCAACGTTCGGTGTTATATAGAACAGTCGGTTGTGGAACCCGTGATCTTACCAACGTTCGGTGTTATATAAGCACGGCTGGTTGTGGAACCCGTGATCTTACCAACGTTCGGTGTTATATAGAACAGTCGGTTGTGGAACCCGTGATCTTACCAACGTTCGATGTTATATAGAACAGTCGGTTGTGGAACCCGTGATCTTACCAACGTTCGGTGTTATATAGACAGTCGGTTGTGGAACCCGTGATCTTACCAACGTTCGGTGTTATATAGCACGACCCGTTGGGGAATTAGGAATGATACAACGAAAAACTCGACTGTATGCATGAGTAAGTAGTAAACTTGCAACATATTGTCAGAAGTATTGATGCCGTTTGACCATCAACAGTGATTTTTTGTTTTATATATACATAATTTACTGTAATTGCATTTTTATTGCAATGTACTAAATACAGAAATTTATTTCAAAAATTCTCACTAATTTGAATTCATTGTACATTCAAAGAGATTACATCTAACCGCAACATTTTTTTTAATCTTTATTTTGAAAATTTACTTTTACTGGAGAGGAATTGATATAAGTATTGTTTTACTTGTTTTTCAGTCCATTCTGATTTTCTTTGTTGTGAAATGTAGTTTTTGTACAATTAATGAATAAATAAAGTTTCTAAACTACTGTAATTGCAGATGAAGATATTGTATTTTACCTCAATGCATAATAGATAGATATACTAGCTTCATCTAAGAGTGATTCAGGTACAGTTTGACATTTACAAGGGTAACATATTAAGTCATTAAGGTTTCAATCACTTCATAAAATACATGTCTTGTTTTAAATCTGTTTAAGTTTTATGCATATCTATGTAACTTAGCATTTACGGATTAAACAACAGCTTATCGGTTTAAATACAAAAACTGAATTATACGCAGATTAGGATATAGCACCAATCCGGTCAATGGACCGGGGTCAGACAGAAATTAGTAGGCTTACATTTAAAATAATTTCAATTTAAACTTCATAATCGCCTTATTTACCACAGATATTTAAATCATTTGCGTAAGAAAAAATTGCTGCCATTTGAATTTATTCCAAGTGAGTTACTATAATTGTAATAGGGAAAAAATGCTGAGTAGCGTCTCGGACTTATGCCTCATAACCCAAAACAATTACAAAATCAGAAAATTAGTTATTTTAGTTAAGTTTTCTCTATGATAAAAAATAAAGTTAAATCTTGGCATCTAAAATAGACCTAAAATGACATGTTTATTACACTTAAACAACCTGTTATAAATTGCTATTTGGTCACGACCTTTCCGACTGAAGTCATTTGCAGAAACAGTCTCTCCGACTCTCAAATTGTATAATTTAAGTTTCATCTTAAATAGACCAAGTTCTTAAAATGTATACTCATACTATACTATATTTTAGTTTTCAAATAACCGGACAATAAGAAAGCATACAAATATCATCTATAACACTTGCTGTATTCATATCACATTCAGAAACGAAAACATATTTTATCTTTTCGATTCATAACATATACAAGCCAAAGACAAAATACTCTACGTTTTTTTTTTAATTAAATACCCGTACAGCCGAAAAGTATTAACAACTTCTTTCTGTACCGAATCACAATTATGTGCTGTAAGGGTTTTGTTTCTGTATTGTATGGATCACACGTGTGTGGTGTACGGATTTTCTATCTCCACTGGATCATAACACTAAAAAACTTCAAAATGTGGTTCACTAAAAGTGCACAGATCTATATGGTACACGGATTTTCTATATGTACGGGATCACACGTGTGTGGTGTACGGATTTTCTATCTCTACTGGATCACACGTGTGTGGTGTACGGATTTTCTATCTCTACTGGATCACACCAGTGTGGTGCACGGATTTTCTATCTCTACTGGATCTCACGTGTGTGGTGTACGGATTTTCCATCTGTACTGGATCACACGTGTGTGGTGTACGGATTTTCTATATCTACTGGATCACACGTGTATGGTGTACGGATTGTTTTATCTCTATCGGATCACACGTTTGTGGTGTACGGATTTTCTATTTGTACAGGATCACACGTGTGTGGTGTACGGATTTTCTATATCTACTGGATCACACGTGTATGGTGTACGGATTGTTTTATCTCTATCGGATCACACGTTTATGGTGTACGGATTTTCTATTTGTGCAGGATCACACGTGTGTGGTGTACGGATTTTCTTTATCTCTACCGGATCACACGTGTGTGGTGAACGGATTTTCTATCTCTAACCGGATCACACGTAAGTGTGTACGGATTTTCTATCTCTACCGGATCTCACGTGTGTGGTGTACGGATTTTCCATCTGTACTGGATCACACGTGTGTTGTGTACGGATTGTTTTATCTCTACTGGATCACACGTGTGTGGTGTACGGATTTTCTATCTCTTCCGAATCACACGTGTGTTGTGTACGGACGGATTTTTTTTATCTCTTCCGAATCTCACGTGTGTGGTGTACGGATTTTCTATCTCTACTGGATCACACGTGTGTGATGTACGGATTTTCTATCTCAACGGGATCACACGTGTGAGGTGTACGGATTTTCTATATCTTCCGGATCACACGTGTGTCGTGTACGGATTTTTTTCATCTCAACCGGATCACACGTGTGTGGAACGGATTTTCTATCTGTACAGGATCACACGTGTGTGGTGTACGGATTTTCTATATCTACCGGATCATACGTGTGCGGTGCATAGGTAATCGGCGCGTTGATGGTCACTACCCCACACCCCCTCCCCCCTCACCCCCACACCCACTCTACAGCCCTCCTACCTCTCAAAACCATGTAAAATACAGTATTTTTCATTTGAAACATGTTTTAATATTTGGCTTATGCTTTTAATTCAATTACTTTCATTTCCCACAAAAAATAAAAAAATTGATACATATATATTGAGTGCTGAAAATTGATCGGCGAGTTGCATACCTTTACTAAATATATATGTATCAATTTTTTATTTTTTGTAGGAAATGAAGGTTATTGAATTAAAAGCATAAACCAAATATTAAAACATGTTTCAAATGAAAAATACTGTATTTTACATGGTTTTGAGAGGTAGGAGGGCTGTAGAGTGGGTGTGGGGGTGAGGGGGGTGCGGGGGTAGTGACCAATCAACGCGCCGATTACCTATGGTGCGGTGTACGGATTTTCTTTATCTACCGGATTACACATGTGTGGTGTACGGATTTTCTTTCTGTACAGGATCACACTCGTTTGAATACCGGATAACTCTCGTGTGATGTACGGGCTTTCTTTCTGTTGGGTATTATTTTTTTACGCAAACAAAATCTTATCTAACATGTATGTAATTCAAGAAATAACTGTCTTACATACAATGAATTTAGTTACAAATAAAACTTCAAAATGTGATTCACTAAAAGTGCACAGATCTATAAGGTACATACTTGGTAAGTAGTCTTTCATCTCATCAAAACCAACACCGTTTATTTTACAAATCTCTGTGAAAACCTCCACCATATTCTGAAATTATTTCAAAGGGCAGATAACTCAAGCTGAAACAATACATTATAACATTTTAACAAGAAAATCACAGGCACTTGGGTTGTGGAGCTCCAAATGCCTTAAAATTTTAAATAAATTGTATATTTGTCAATCCAAGCAAATATACATTGTATTTATCATAAAGATATATATCAATAAAACCTACTTAAAGTAGTTTTGTGAAAAAATCTAATTTTAAAATGTATAAATATATTATATTTCCCAAAATAAATACAAAAATATCAGGTTTAAACACAACATCCACTACAAAAGTAAGGCATCACCATTATAGGAATTGTGCCAGATATGCAAAATATCTTTTAGCCGCATGCCTCCAGATCTGATGAGCAAAAATATTTAAAGAAAATTAAAGTTGAGAAAAATGTACTATAAGATTTTATCAAAAGAAAAGGTTTAAGAAATAATTTGCATGTTATGTGCTGGACTAATTTTGCATTACTTATCACCATTTATGATTTTATTTTCGCGTTACTAACGCAGTTAGGGCTATGTTTGCTTATTTCGACGTCTTTTTGGTAATATACGTGGATTGCAAGTGCTGTTTGAAATATGTAAATTAGTTTCTTTGTTCACTCCACAACATTTACTTATTTTAAATACATTTTTAAAATGTTCATTAAAATAGGCATAACTCTACAGGCTGTAGAGTTATGTTGCTTATATGACGTCACAAGCGTCTTCTTGTCATACAAACATGGGTACGTGAAAACAAACCTGTTGCTGAGCATTGAGTGACTCCAGCTCTGAAATCTTTTCCCGTTGATATTTGTTCTTTTTATACATCAGTTTTAGAAGGAAATGAAAGTTGTCTTTTACCGCAATTATAAGACCTAAATTGAAGATAGAAAACTGTGTCGGTACATGTATTATTAAAACCGTTGCACTGAAATAATTTTATGAAAATCACACGAATTGTGTTTCTTACATTACAAATATATATAACGTGAAGAGAAATTGTAGAAAACTGCATTATACATTGTACCTATATTAGATTAATAAAATGATTATCAATTTATATTTGTATCAAAATGTGGAAAAAGAACTGTAGAAAAAGAAAAGAAAAAAGTAAAAAAGGATAAAGAAAAGGACCAAATGGTGTGGTCGAGTATTTAACGTTGTAGTAGTCGTTGTAGTAATCTAAGAAGTGTTAGCCGCTTGGGTTCGAACCTTGTCAGTGGCAAGACGTTTTTACATTGAGCAAACTTTACCCTCATTTATTAGTTAGTACAATCTGGCTCCAGGGACGGTTTCGAGTGTTAAACATATAGCGTTCTGCACGATTGAACTAGACTTAAATTCTGTATAAACCAAAAAGTAACTTTGTCTACTGTATGGGTTGATATGAAACAACTGACAATTTAAAAAATAAACCATTATTTACTATTTAGAACTCTTATAATTCTCCACGGGATCATGATGACCAATATGAGGACAAAGGACTCCACGGGATAGTTTGTTAGTCCGTTTATATAACATAAATCCAGGGTGAATGATGATATAACAACTATACCGTCAAAAACCTGAAAATAACATATCCACAATATCATTCACCCCATCTACTAGTAAATTTTCATGTATTAGTATTCAATTTTATAGCGTACACAGTTTTTACGGATATCCTTTACTTTTCTTGTATAAATCTATGGAAAAAATATCTACCCTCTCAAAATCAAAATATAAGTCATATTTTACATTTCTATGAACAAGTATAAAGATTTGCATTTAGCCCATACCCTGGTGACTGTGTCACGGACTTGCTTATCTTTGAATTTGGAACAGTCCATTCAAAATTAATGGATTTCAAGATCAAAATACATCAATTGTGCTACAACAATATAGAGCTAGGTCAGGTTATCGGATGTGCAACCTTGCCAGACTCGTTTCTGGCAATGCTCATTACATTCAGTTCCATTTACTAGAGCATTCAAAATATTTTGTAGAAGAAATGATTATGAAATACGTACTCGTTTAGAAATGATCGAGTGTATGTAATACAAGATTAAAACAGTGCATACCTCGAGCTTATGCTTTACAAAAGATAACCCATGGCAGAATATTTTAAACAGTGTCTGAAATGTAGAGAAAAATAAAAATAGAAATATATTATAAAAGCGACTTGTACATGAATAAAGAGCGAAATAAGTGGTTGTCAGTAGATACTAAAGAACTACGTTTGAATGAGAAAATGATGTTAAGCAATACCGTAACTATAGCCATCGGTCAATTAAGGAAAAAGAGGAAAAGATTCCTCAGTTATGCATCTCATATATACAAAATCTAATTTTGTCGTATCTGTAATTGTCTTTTCGTATTATCGAAGCGAAAAGGACGACGCAATAAAGCAAAATATGACACATTAAAAGAAGAAAAAAGCAAAAACAACAAAAAAATACGAAATTGTAACAAATGAGAAGACGACAAATAAGAAGCACTTTTGATGTCTATCATTTTTGCCAAATTTTTGTTCACCGTTCGCTTTTCCGCCTCAAAAATGCAAAAAAATGCGATAACACAAAGATACCAATACAAAAGTGTGTACTTACAAAAAGTACTAAAATGCTTAATATAGTAATACTGGCTTTATGGAATGCGTGCGACACACTTTCCTCTAGGCTGTGAGCCTCCTCCTCCAGGAAGTGGGGATCGTCAGAATCCTTGAATATTGGTACCCCGTAATTATGAGCTCCTGGTTCCGTGCTTGAAGGGACTATATTATGCTATAAATAGAAGACAGATATCAAATTGGATTTCCGTATTAAAATGTTCTTTATCTTTTGTTATTTTTTCAATCAGTAAAGTGTCAAGTGAAGCTTAATTCTTAGCATTTAATTGATCATTCATTTAACAAGCTTATAAATGAACTTCACTACATTATGAAGGACCATTTAGAGAGAGGTAATGTACTTTCAGTCTTGTTTCATATTCATAATTACACTGAACAATCACAGATTTGTTTAATTACCGCATATTCTTGGATTCTGCATGCCAGTTACTGGCATTAGACATTGCTATATAAGCGACTTTGAAAAGTACCTTATATAGAACGTTGATAAATTTTTATTTTATTGTTTTAAATTTTAGTTTTCTTAACAAAATTAAAACATTCATTATATAAGGATATTAACATAAACTTGTTATTATGAAAATTAAATTGAATTTAAACAAATGAGCCGCGTCATGACAAAACCAACATAATGGGTTTGCGACCAGCATGGATCCAGACCAGCCTGCGCTTCCGCGCAGTCTGATCAGGATCCATGCTGTTCGCTTACAAATCCTATAACAAGTAGAGAAACTGCATGATAGCGAACAGCATGGATCCTGATCAGACTGCGCGGATGCGCAGGCTGGTCTGGATCCATGCTGGTCGCAAACCCATTATGTTGGTTTTGTCATGACGCGGCTTAAAAATTACCCCTAGGTTCCTCGTGGCTCTATCTATGTGCATGTAAGTTAGATTTGTGTCACAGACCAGTTTTGTCGTGAGAATTTTATTAAAGAATTTATGTGTATCGTGCACATGGTACCCGGCAAATTGTTCCGGGTGACGATCTTTTAATAGTTGGTTGAACTGTTCCATCGTATTCTCAGCCGTAACAATCATTTCTAGAAACGAAACAGAAGTCAGGACATTTATATAAATATTGCATAGTTACACTTTATACATGAAGTAGGTGAACTTCTGACTTAATGTAAGAATGAAGTGACCATACAATGATGGACTCGAACGCAGTTAACACTAAAAACATTCAAAGATTTATTAATTACATATTACATGTATGTTGGTGATAAAAGCGTCTACTAAAAGCAAGAAAGACATATTCATGTATAAGTAGGTAAATAGGTAAAACTTTATTTCTTTATTTGCTGTTGCTATTAAACGTTATTATTTCCCTCTAGGTCTAAGTTTCCTACAACAACTCAAAATCACGTCTTCTTTTATCTTAGGGCATCGACCGAGGTCTTTTGAGATGAGCGGATTGGGGATTTTTCTAGATTAATGTTTCATTTGTTGTAGGTCTAAGACAGTAATTTGTGCGCAAAATTTCAAATCATTCGCACACTCTGTATTTCCAGAATAATTATTTTGATGTAAAAAATGACCCAAAATTGAAAACGTTTGCAAGGCTTTTCACTCATATCGGGCTAAGAATAGTATAAAAAATACAATATGGAATGTGTAAGGAATTTAAAATTAATGTTTTTAGGCTTTTGAATCTCAGTGGAGTTCCTTTAATGCTATAAACTGTCCTTGGGGGAAACAATTACCAGTTTCAATTTCTGCTCGATTATCGATTAGTATATTAGCTAAACTTACTTTTTATAAAGTAAACGTCGAGTATAAGTTCACTAAGGACTAGCAGACAATCAAGACAGTTTAGAATGACAACTATCAGCAATAACACCTGGCTATGTAAGATCTCTTTTCCCTTCTTCCGAAACCTAAAACAGAAATTACTGATTTGAAACGTTTGTCGTCTGTTCCCTAGAAATAATAAAATTGGTATAACGTGTGTCTAAAGACCCAGTAGGACGTTTCGTTCTTTTACAAACTTTAGTCGTGTCTATAATTCAATTATATTGGATAAAATAAAAACTTATATTAAGAATGATGCCAAATGCAAGTTTCTCCAAGTTCATCAAGAAATTCTAAAGGAAGGTTAGTTTACATTGATTACGCGAAAGTGTGTACCTCCATATTTCCTATATACATTACAAGTAGCGAAAAATTATATATTCAAATGAGGCTTAGTGCGTGTAGTTCTTGATTCTTATTAAAATAAGAAGAAAATAAGGTAGAACTCTAACAGCGTTAATTACTCTTTCAGAAACTGTGTTGAAATGAATTGAAATATTTAACAAAAATGTATTATCGTTCTTAAGTATTTATTTTCTGTTGTAATTCTTGCGTACTACTGTATTTTCAGTCCATCAATAACAATACTGTTCAACACAACAGTCTCTAATAGTATGCTGTTACAGCCAAAGGTTTATCAGCATATATGATTCATATAACGAGGTCAACGACCTTACTTAAATATATTGAAATCGCGCTTGTAAACACAACATCTGTTTACGTAATTGAAATAAGCCCAGGCTCCACAATGTTCCCGTGCAAACACAATATGTTAAAACAATTACATCTGTACGACACTTCCGCTCTAACTCTGGTAATGTAGGCGAAACATTCTGATATTTACCATAGAGTTGCGAGCCGGGTGATAGTCGAAAAACGATTTTTAGTAACGTAAATCATTTTTTCTAAATTACTGTTTAAGTCAATAATTATAACAAAAAATAAGTTGTTTGGGAATTCATGTGAGCCTTCATGCAATACGACCGTTAATAACTGCATAATATTGTTTTACATTGCATATATTTTTACTTTCTTTTACTTCAATCATGTTTCCGTGGTCGAGGGGTTAGAGTCGATGACTTCTAATCCACTTACCTCTCTGGCGTGGGTTCGATCCCCGGGAGATGCTTTGGTAGTTTAGCGCGGAGGAAAGTAGTCTAGTACTGGTGTAACTCTCCAGGAACGATGGTTAGGAAACTACCCGCCTATATGACTGAAATACTGTTGGGAAAAGGCGTAAAATGAAACAAACAAACAAACAAACGAGCATATATTTTTACTTTCTTTAACTTCAATCATGTTTCCCGAGCACTTTAGTATATTTTTTTTACTACAAAATTTTTAAAACTCGCTTAAAAAGATAGTAAGCTGGTAAACCCCTAGCCTCAAGAAGTATATTAATTCTTGGAGTTTAATTGTCATAAATTTGCAACCATCTTTCTCCAGCACATCATAATTTATGTCTTTTTTCAAAATAAGATATAATAAGGTTCATACCTTTGAAGTTTTGACTCTGGTTCGAGCTTCTCTCTGTTAATATGCTTCTCCAGGAAATCCTCCCACACGGACAGGGTCCGGCTCTGTCGAGGACTGAGAACTTCCGGCGATACTCCAAGGGCATCCATTACATAGAGTACAACTCCTGATATCTTGTCATTCAAACTTTAGAATCACTGTATCCAAATTGTTCAAAGAAAAATATGTGCTCCTTGTAAAATGTGCTGGTAAATTAAGAAGTACCATTAAAATCACCACGTTAAATAATTAAGGAATATGGATAGAGAATGTAAACGCTTTCCTAAAATTAACCTATACGACTATCATAAAGTTATAGGTTGAAACACATAAATAACATAAAAATACTACTGTTAGTGATAAAAAACGAACACAGTGTACGTACGGGAGATTGTGTAAGTTATGCGAACTCATTTTTCCCTAGAAGTCATCCAATTAATAACGTATGTTGCCAGTACAATTTGATGTTCTATACGTCATATCTTAATTCTGTTCATATTTTTCTTTCCGCTTAAAAGTACGCTTGGTGTTATTTGTATTTTTTTGGTATATTTTATTATCACAAAGCAATTAATTTTGAGAAATGATATATCTTCCAGTTTGTATTGACTAATGATCGGTTTTTTTAAAAGCCCAATAATAATGCCCACCAAATCATATTACCTTTATTTCTTAAAAAAATCTTAAAATATAGCAATTTGCTCATTGGGCAAATAGCTGAACCGTGTTTTGCTTTTTGGAATTTAGTACTTATATAGTGATTTAGTATTTAGTATTTTGTATGGAAGTCAAAAACCATTTTGTGTACAGCTTTTGTCGTCAAATACTCCTAAATCCATTGTTAAAAGAGTACATTTGTATAAAACGCTTGTTTCTAAAGAAGAAAATTCTAATGGTAAATGTGACCATTTCGGTGCTCTGTATAAATATTACCCTTTTCCACAATACTATTATTTCGGAGGTTTTGTTGCTGTTTGATGTATCGCACTCGAGACTCGCGAAAAGCGCGTACATATACTTCATAAATTATTTTACCCCTGTATATGTTCAGAATATTAAATCAAATTTACATCTATCCCACATAAATCAAGAGCGTCAAAAACAACTTTCCTATTTTTACGGTAGTACTTGTACTAATTATAGCTGGTAACCGGACTTGTCAAGACAAAATAACAATGTCTGTTAACATTAACTTCATATAAAAAAGCCACTTACTTATGATGACATTTCAAGTATTAGATCAGCATCCCGCCACTGTTTTTCGTTTGATTAATGAAATATTCAGTATAACTTGACTTTTCATTTACTCATTTAAAAGGCAGACCGAAAAAATATCAAAACGCAACCCTCATCATTATACGACTGTCTACATATACATACAGTCAGCCAACTTATGAACTTAAGATGTGACCAGCTTAGACATTTTTTATTGTTTGTTTCGTTATAACTTTAGATCAGCTACATCGACGTTACAAAATCGACTATATTCCAGCGATATATCGGCCTACGTTTCAGCGATATATCGGCAGACAATTATTGAGATAAGCACAAAATCGACAATATCCCACCTTTACATCGGCGGACAGTTATTCGACTATATCCCAGCGATACCTCAGTAAAATCGACAATATTCCAGCGATATATCGGCGGTCAGTTTTTCGACTTCATCCCAGCGATACATCAGTAAAATCGACAATATTCCAGCGATATATCGGCCGGCAGTTATTGAGTTAAGAAGAAAATCGGCTATATTCCAGCGAACACTTACCGAGTTTAGAGCAGAAAACACTATTGAGTTTAGCACAAAACCGACTATATTCCAGCGATGCATCGGCCGGCACCTACTTAGTTAAAAGATAAAATCGACCAAATCCAGCGAACACTGGAGTTTAGATCAGAAAGTACTCTATTCCAGCGATACATCAGCGGTCAGCTTAGCACAAACATTATTATTATGCAGTAAAATACCGTCGGTTAACTCATAATCATATAAGTTTTAGCATGAAATTCACCTTATTCCAATGATATACCAGTTGACAGGTACACTGGCAGGCAAATTATGAGTTTAGCGCAAATTTCACTTATTTCATTCCAATGATATACCGAAAGGAAGTTCGGCGATTATCACACATTTCCCCTTTTTTCCTATGATATACCTGCGCACATTTCACCTAACTCAATTTAGCAATAGAAGGCGATTGACATCAGTCACATTTTTGTGACAGGTGAATAATTACATGCATATAGATAGACGAGAGAAACGCAAAAAAAAAATCAAATAAAGACGTAAAATATTTAACATAAATTTAATTAACTTTTTTCAAATGGCATTTCTTCTGTTACACATCACAACATAATCACAATTTAAAGCTTGAATTTGTTTTTCCAATGAACAAAAACAAACAAGAAACAAAACAGGTACATTATACATATAACAAATCTGAAAAGAGCATATGGCTGGTGGGAAATTCATATTGGCAAACGGCATTTCACAATTATTTTTAAAAGGAAAAATATATAAAAATACATTAATTTTATATATTGACTTCAATGTATTTACTTTCATAAATGGATGTAAATTGTCATCTGATAATATTCTTTGATTGCAAGAAAGAGAATGTTTTTATACATTAGTAATTTTGACAACATGAATGTCACTAACACAACGTTTTGATATATTAATCACTGAAATAAGTGGTTTTTGTTAGAAAGTAAATGTCACTCTTATACATTTCTTAAAATATTTATATTAAATGCTTTATTTATAAAAATGTTTACTTTTCAAAATCTTCAAAATAAATCAAATCAGAATCAAGAATAAACCCTTTTATGGAATAATCATAATGTATTTGAGTAATTAAACAGACAGAAAAATCATGAAATATCAAGTATAAATCAATATTGAATATTCCAAGGATGGTCATTTGTGACAAGAAATCGTAAAAACTGAAACATACATACAAGAAAATAATGCAAGGGCCAATTACAAAGCAATTCTGGCAATTTGATGCACAAGTACTCTGGGTGAACACCACTAAATATGCTGACAATTGTGTATCTCAAATAATGTGACTATACTTATCAGTGCAATAAATGTTAATCATAATACTGCTAAAATAATAATAAAAAAAACTTACTCATCAAAAATACTCCGATTTATTTACATTTGTTATACAGGGATATAACAGATTCTTTTGTCTACAGATCTAGGATGATAATTTAAAATTTATATGCCCATGCAGGAAAGAAGAAATAGAAAAAATACAAATAGAACCCTTTTTACACACTCAAATATTGCTTCGAGAAGAGATTAAAAATCTATATAAAAAAGAAATTGTTCATCACCTTAGTGCAGTAAAGGGTTAACTCCTATTGAATTCTATAAGGAGTTAAGCTGATACTGCACTAAAGTGATGAAATATCCAACAGTCAAAGAAGAATTTTTTTTATCAATAATTATATTAGAAACCAAAATATCTTTGAGCTGGAGAACCATTTTTGAATAACATCCAAGTATGACATCTAAACTAAAAACCATGCTATGTGAAGCAAAAACTAACTACACATATTGAACAGGCAATCCATCAATAATGCAAGACGGGCATTTTGCTACAAGAGCTCCTAAAAGGACAGCATACTTGATAAGTGATTATCATTTGAAAAGAAGAGCTAAAATCTTTTTAATCCACAAGAACCAACAGTTAAAAACACCTCTTATTTCTAATAACAGAACAAATCATAATACGAAAGGTAGTACATTGTTATATAACAAAACAACAATCTAAATATCCAAAAAATTTAACCTTAACACGCTAGCACCAAAATTGATTAACCTATGCCACCTGAATTAAGCTAACCTAGCCTGTACAGAGGTTTTTTTCTGTTATAAGCTAAGTTTTTGTATAATGATCTGGAAATCCCTAAAACTTTGAATGGACTATTCCAAATTCAAAGCAGGGCAAATAAATTATACAACTCAGAGAGTTAAAATTTCTTCTTTACCAGTATACTGTCAAATTATCAACTTATATCTATACAAACTTATCACACTCTGTTTATGTACTCAACAGATAACCTTAAAGTGAAATCAAGGTCAAAGGTCAAATAATCCACCAAACAAAGGACTTGTTTCTCATTTCAATCGATAACTGATAAACCTGTTTGAAAATGTGAGTTAATTCATAATTTTACTTAATATAACACTTTACCATTTAAAGAAATCAGCAAAAATCAATGGCAACTGCTAAATATTGAATAAATAACACAAATGCCAATTTAATTTGTCATAAATAAGTGCAGACTGAAATTTCAACAATGTTTTAATCATAGTATTTCATAATTCCTTTGGACATATTAATGAATGTGTATGTCAGTAAATTTATTTAAATAATCATGAAATATTTCAACTTTACACAAGTACCCTTTTTTTAACAAATATTGATTTCTTTCACTTTATAATATATACAAGCCACTTCAAGACAATAATGATAATGTCATGAAAATATCTCACCAGACAAAACAAATATCTGAGTAAGCAGATAACAAAACAGTGAAAGCAATACTTAAAGGGAGACTACTCAATCTCAGAAATTATCTTAACAATGAAGTTTAGACTGTACAAATTCAATCAATACTGTGTCTGCAATTATGTGTCATTTTACTGTTTTTATTGCTTTCGAGGGATCAATTCTTTCCAGATAATACCAGATATTTAAGAAAGCTTTTCATATAATATAAAGTTCAAGTAATATCAAAATTGATACAAAATTTTCAAAATTGGAAAGTTCTCGTGTTACAATCAAAGTAGTGTAACAATTTCAATACAATAGTCATCTACATGTACAGATAGAATTATATTATATATTATAAAGGCAATCTGTTGAAACGAAAATTCCAAAAATAAACAAGCATCTAACAATTGTGATTTTATTTTGACCTTCATAATACTGAATATTTGTAACATGGCTTTTCATTGGATAATCCTGACATTTATGTAATCTTTATACACAGCTGCTATCAATTTGTGAAGTAAATTTTGTTTTTCCTCTCTGATGTATTACAAATTCGTTATAAATATATTACTGACAGGTTATATGACTGTATATAAATGGTTGTTTGCAATATAACCCTCTCCTAGCGACTTGGGTTATAT